GGACACTGCACTCCAGTCTGGGTGACAGAGTGAGACTCCAACTCAAAAAAAAAAAAAAAATGTTCACCATAGCATTGTTTATTGCAACAAAATAATTAGAAACAACCTATCCAACAATAGGGAGTTATATAAGTAAACGATGAAATATTTGGAGCTGCTAAAAATTGCATTATAGGGAATATTTATTCATTTATAAAAATTATTGTGATATATGATTAATATATATCAATTTTATTGAAAAAGTCAAACGTATGTTCTATATATGTGAAAAAGACTAGAAGGAAATATAACACAATGCTTATTATGGTGGTCTGTATGTAGGACCGAATATTTTTTGTCATTTGTGCTTATCTCTGTTTCCCATGTTTTCTTCATCAAGCTTCTGTTAAATTTTGTAGTTAGGAAAGAGAATAAAAAACGTTTATGCTGATTCTACCTTTGTAATGTCGTTCTTATCTTCCCCTTCTCTCCATTTCCTTCATCATGGCCCTAGCTCAGGTCTCTCCATCTCTCACTGAGACCATTATGTCAGCTTTTTAATGGATGTCCCTGTCCTACAAAAGGATATAACCTGTCACTCTGCCCAGAAGCCTTTGAAACTTCCCATGTAGAATAGCGTTTTAGCTTTTTGTCTCCTTGTTGCCCTAGGCCCTCTCAACCTCATTCTGGCATTCTCCTCCCTCCCCAGCTTCATCCTCCCTCATTTCCCCAACCCCAGTGCTCCAACTCCAGTCTGTCCCTGGCTGTGGTATATATGGTCACACTTAGATCCTATCTTGTTTAAAGTCTGTCTTTCAAGGCTTACCTTCTCCAAGAAGCCTTCCTCTATCATTGTCTTCCCCATACTTCAGTTCATTGGTTTGATTTCTTCTGTGACCATAATCACAAGCTGCCTTCTAATAGTGATTTCTGGAGGATTCTGCTTCTTCCTTTGGTCACCTTCATATCAAAAAGGTCTAGACTTTCAGTGCCTAGAGTTTGCACTCAATGGGCTTCTTGGAACTCTGTTGAGTCGCATTGTTGATTGAGAGTTGCCTCTGCACACCATGTGCTGCAAGATCCAGAGTCAGCTTTGTTGTGTTTTATAATTATGCCATAAATATGTGTGATGTTTTGGCATGCAGGAATCTATTCAATTATCCATGTAAACAGTCACACTTGGGATTATGTGTCATAAAAAATGTGCATGTATTAAAATATAAGGTTTATAGGCATACCATTTGGTATTTAGAAAAACTTTCTTCTATAACTGGCTAGTAAGCATTTGAGTCTGAACTTAATTGTAGGCAATTCCTTGGAAAAAATGATTCTGTGGAAACCCAGGCATGTCCTGGAGACAACCACAGATAATTACACCAAGAAAACATTTCTATAATGCTCCTGATTAATAAAAAAAAAAAGCAAATTGTTGATTCTTGACTTCTCTTTCCTTGTTTTCTCTCTGAAAGGTGACAGCATTTCAACAATGAGAATATAACTTATTGCATCAGTAAGCTTGCTTTGTTAGGTCTGAAATATCCTTACTTAGTTTTTCCTTACAAAATGTAGGCATTTTAGATGCCTTGCCTTCCTTTTAATTCTACGTATGCCCCATGCTTTGCCTGGCTCTCCATCTTTCTTTGCAATGCTATCATTGCACTCTTGGGCATCTGTGTTTCTCATAGAACTCTTATTACAGTAGTGAAACATAAACAGGAAGAGCTAGCCACTTCCTTGCATTTCTTGGCATAAATCCCTTTTGTGTTTCATTGAGGTGCCATGTGAGTCAGCTCTGTACTGGGAGATGACTTTCTTGTTCCACCATCAGATGCAGGGTTCAGGTTGTTGATGTCTGTGCGAGGTCAAGCACGAATTAGTTCCTGAACCAAAGCTGCCACCATACCCTTTTGGTACATACTGTGTCTGAAAAACATGCCCCTTAACCTGCATTACTTTATGGAACTTTGAAAGACACTTTTGTATCATTTAAATTACTGCACAAATCTCTCCTAGAAAATTAAATTTGTTACAATTGTGCAAATATTGGTGATTCCTCCTTGTCTTGGGACTGCCTGGGTATGTGGACCTCATGTGTGGTACTGCCAATGTACATATCCCCTTGTCCATCCATCTGTTCATCCATCCATCATCCATGGTCTCCCCACAACTGGGATCCTTCTAAGCAGGAATCATCTTGAAATTCCCCGTAGCACCTTTTGAGACACTTGTGTGTCATGAGGGCCTGACATTCCACTGGATGGTGATGAAAGTTCTTCTTTCTCTCAGCATCACTGTGTATGTGGAGAGAGGATGCTGAGAACATAGAATCCATTTGTGGGGTTGGGTGCCGTAAAGGAACTTTTGACCTCATGTGCCCTAGGCTATGCTCTCCCAGTTTCCTGACCTCTCGGAAATCCCATAGCAGCAGTGGGAAAGGGTGACATGGGTGGTCCAGCATTTAACAACTTTTCTGGTGTGTATGTGTGTACGTGTGTGTATTTGACTCTACAGGTCAGTTTTTGGGTTGTACGAGAAATTCTAACAGCACAGACTTTAAAAATAAGGGCAGAAATCCTGAGCCATTTTGTGAAAATAGCCAAGGTAAGCTGCTTTATTATTTTTTTCCTTCCTTTTCCTTCTTTTTCTTTCTTTGTCTCAAAAAATGTGTTTCCTCAGTACTTTGGGAGCCGCTTTGTTCTGTGTCTGCCAACCAGCGTTCAAACAGGGTGCTGTGGCCTAACCTCCCTAGGCAGAGCCAGCTGTCAGACCTGCCTGACTGCCCTCTGACCCCATAGCAAACTGGCAGCATGTCCCTCCCCCCCGCTCATAATTTTGGCAGCTGACTGTCGTCCTTACCTGGACTTTATAGTCTCTCCTCAAGGCAGGCCCCAGAGGCTACCACTGGAACCCATCCATTCTCCTGCTTTAGATTTTTTTTTTTTTTGAATTGGAGTCTCACTCTGTCACCCAGACTGGAGTGCAGTGGTTGCTCTTGGCCACCACAGCCTCGACCTGCTGGGCTCTGGCGATCCTTCCACCTCAGCCTTCCAAGTAGCTGGAACTACAGGCACGCGCTACCACGTCCAGCTAATTTTTTTTTTATTTATTGTAGAGATGAGGCCTCGCCAATTTGCCCAGGTGGGTCTTGAACCTACGGGCTCAGGCAATCCACTCACCTCGCCTCCCAAAGCGCTGGGATTACAGGCTGAGCCACCGAGCCCGGCCTCCTGCTTTAGATTTAACCAGTGCTGGGAGTTGATGGATTTTAGTTAGCATCAATGCTTGTGATACCATCACATCCTGCACAAATTTTGTCACCAGTCACTAGAGCCCATCCCACCCCCTCCTGAGTTTGAGGCTGGGCCAGATGACCTTACAGCCTCTCACTCCCACCTCCTGTCCCCTAGCCTGATAGGGTCTGTCCTTGCCACTTGTTGGACATCACCTTTCCCATCCTATGCTGTTATCTCTGCCAGACCAGGCTCTGTCACCTCATGGGCTTTCCTGGACCATGTTTATGGCCAGGTGGCTCCTCCCCACATGCTGCTTTCAAACACCTGGGCTTGTCTGACTCTTGGCTGCAGCATTGTTCTGGCTGGTTCACTACTTGCTTCATGTGTGCATGTGTTGTCTTCCCACCCAAGTCCTAGGTGAGTTACCCTGTATTGAGGCCCCTTACAAGCCAAGTACCATAGCAACTGCTTTATTTACATAGTATTTAGTGCTCATATTATTATTATCCCATTTGCAGAGAAGGTAGAGGGGGCTTTGAGGGGTGAAGTGTCCATGCTCCGGACCCCACAGCTAGTCAGTAGCAGAGCATGGATCAGAGCCATGTCTCTCTGCCTTCAGTGGAGCTGCTTTGTTTCCCATCATGGGAAGGTTAAGTGTATCAATCTGTTAATGTTAAGGGCAGTGACCATGTTTACCCTCTGTGTATTCTCCGGAAGTACTTGGAACTGGTGCTGGGCTTAATGATATACACTGCTGTCAATCAGTTCTGTGCTGGGCCACAAGAGAAAGTGAGATGTGGTTCTAGACCTTCTAGGGCTTTAGGCTGGAAGTGAGTTTATGGTCCCCACCCACGAATTCCAATATGATTCCTCCTTAATCTCTGACATTTTCCTTATGGTGGACCATCATGCTGACACTGTTCCCTGGGTCTTTCCTTGTGTAAGCCCCTTCCTTTCTCTGAGCCTTGGTTTTCCCATCTATAAAATGAAAGGGGTGGGTTATATAATCTTTCAGAGGCTTTTCAGCTCTATAAAGAAATTCTGTGATAGGTATAGCAATCCAAATATACAAAAAATTCAGTTCATTCTGAGTCTATTCTTTTTTTTTTTTTTTTTGAAAGCAGGATTTATTGAGAGGATAGAAAAGCTCCCAGAGCAGGAGGGACACGAGGGGGTTGCCCCTGAGAGTCTATTCTTACATACAGGAAACAATTAGAGAATGTTACACGATGTCTGAAACAAAATATTAACCTGTGTGGTGAGGGAAAAATTTCCAATGGAGCTGTGGGGAGTAGGCATAAGAACTTTTCCTTTATTTGTTTCACTAGGCTTTATCATGTGCTGGCCACTGTACTGGGTACTGGAGACACAATGGTAATAATACTTTGTCCCTGTTCTCAGACACATGGTCCAGAGAGAGAGGCAAGTAAAAAGCAAGCATAATCCAGTGTGCTAAAACTATGCACAGACTGCTGTGGGGACACAGAGGTGGCGTCTCCAACATGCTTAGATTTGGGAACGTGGTCTGGAAAGGCATATTAGAGGAAGTGGCATCTGAGCATGAAACTCGCTAAGACAAGTGATCGGGGAAGGAAAAGACAAGTCTCCCAGATAAAGAAGACTGAGACTCATATCTTACTGAGTCCTCATCTTTGCCCTGAGACCAGCCACTGATCTAGGCAATTGACATGCGGTCTCATGTAGTGGAGGTGCTGTGATTGCCTTCCTCATGTTAAATAGGAGGACACCAAGGCTCAGAAGGATTAGGTGACTTGCTGAAGGACGCACAAGTACTGGGAGCTGGGATTGGAACCAGGTCTTTTGGTTCCATAGAACTTGCTCAATAACCCAAACTTCACTGACTCCCAATAATGAGAAATAGGGCCCCAGTTCTGTTAGCAAGATTCCCAAAGCACTTACACTCAACTGTGTCTCAGTCAGTTGTCCTTCGTGGTAGGCAACTTGTCTGAGACAGAATTGAATCCAAATGTTCTCATTAATTTGGGGTCTGGTTCAAAGAAGCATGGTCAAGTGATTGAGAAACCTAAGCATTGCCTTCACAGCTGAGAGGAGTTACGCAGATCGAAAACATCTTTCTTCAACCACTTTCTCATTCCGGTGTTAAGGTAATCACAGAAGACTCACGTTGATGCTGTTGGCACAGCCAGGGTTTTAGTTTACAATAGCCTACTGGGACAGCATTCAGATGTGTCTATAAAAGAACCTAAAGTGTACTATCAAACCTTATCCCGAGCCACATTTCTGCCTAGCAACCAGACTAATCAGCTTATGAAATTTTGCAAGTGTTTTAGATGCAGACTCACTTTTTGACAATTTAAGAGAAAAAAAGCATGTGGTTTCTATGAATTTCCTAGAACTATACTTTCTACATGAGATATTTTAAGTGTAATTGAATTTCATAAATATGACATTTGGTAACACTTGAACATGTTTTTGTTCTGTTGTTTACAGCAGAAAAATAATCTATTCCATATCTTTTTTCAGAAACTTCTAGAGCTCAACAACCTTCATTCTCTCATGTCTGTGGTGTCAGCATTACAAAGTGCTCCCATCTTCAGGCTGACAAAAACCTGGGCTGTAAGTTAATATTCTTAAGTCTACCTCTTTAACTTTGGCTGTCATTTCATTGGTGAAGTTCTTAATTCTCTTAGCCCCAGCCTTTCTCTGTCTACACTTTGCCAACAACAGAGTTACTGTGAGTTAAGGACATGTCCTCATACTCCTTCAGTGATCCTAGCCTCATTTTGGTACAATGGAGTGATAAGTGTGCTGACACAGCTGGGGTGGGAGGCCCCCTAGGGTGGATCTTCCTGGATGCCACCATGTCACGTGTGATGGCTGGGTCAGCAGTATGACGTGCCCTCCACTTAGATAGAATTCTTCTTGGCAGTCTCCAAATTGCTCTTGAGAAGGTCTCTGGGCTGAGGGTTTGCAGCTGCCTTGGGTCACTGGCCATCCAGCTAAGAGTTTCTGTGGAGAGAAACCTGTGACCCTCCTGTAGGAAAAAATGAATTTTTTTTTCTAAGGCTGTGGATAATTTCAGTTCAGAGGTGGAGTCTGGTAGTTATATAATTGAGTCTGTAGGAAAGTTTTTCTGCTGTAAAAATACTTTAAAAATATCTCAGACCTCTTTATCCTCCTTAGCTTGGCATAGGGCCTGACATGGGGGAAGTAATTGCTATTTCCATAGCTCATTAGCATTCACCTCCTGGCCTGCCTGGTCTGGGGTCTCTCACAACCACACAGCGCAAGGCTTTCAAGACCTGTTTATGTCCTGTAGAACTGACGGAAACTGTATGGAATTGTCAGATGTGCTTCTGCAACTCATTTCCGAACTTCTTTCTGCCAGTCTGTGGGGCTGGACTGTATTTCCTACTTGGCTGGTTCAGGGGCCTTTAAAATACTCAGGGATTATGCTCTAGGTGATCAGAAGTGAGCCTTGTTTCTTTAAACTGCAATTTTCCATGAATTTAGCCCTAGCAAAGTAAAGTGGGAAGAGTTAGCCCAGAGTCAAAAAACTGGATTTACATTTAGGTGCCAGAGTGTGACTTCTGTGGGACTCATTTTTCCATATTTACTTGGGGAGGTTGGCCTGGATTAGTGGTTTTCCATCAGTGTTTGTGGAGTCCTAGGGGGTTCCTTGGAGTTGCCTTGGGGGCTACCAGGAACTGAGGGAGTAGAGAGAGGGTGCCAAGCAGGCAGTTTAGGTACTATTTCCATCAGGGCAGCCCTGTTTACATCAGTTTTATGTTCTAGGCTTCAGGTGAATTTCAACTGAACAATAACTTTGGAGATCAAAAGCAAGTTTGGAAGCCACTGGTCTCAGCAGTTGCTGCCAGCCCTGTGATTCTAAGTCCATTTGAGTAGTGAGGCTTTTTTCAGAAGTTTCTTGGAGATTCTTTTTCAAATGAATTTTCCATCATTTAGATGCTGTTATTGTTTCTTGGACTGCTGGGAGCTATGTGGGACCTGGAGGGATGATTCTGAATCTTCTCATGCGTAGACCTTGCTCTCAATAATATTTTATCTCTCAACGATCCTTATAAGCTGCACAATTGGAGAAGGCAGAGATAGTGCATCAGTATAGAGGACCTGATGTGGCTAAGGATCTTGTGAAGAGATGTGAACCACTCAGTGACAGGGCAGTGACCATCAATGAAGCATTGGTTGGTGTTCTCCTAGGGATGCAGAACAGTGGGCAGCAGCACACCAGAGCAATACCCAAGACCAAGGACCACTGTGTTCGTCTTCACAAGCACTGCTCAGGGTAGCCAGGTCTTTACTACTGCTGACATGGGGGAAGTAATTGCTATTTCCATAGCTCATTACCTCTTTTCTGCAATGAAAATAAATCTCTCATAGCTTCTCGGGGATCCTGAATGAAATATACACCCGGGACCCATTTGAAGACGTGATCATCTTCACCTAGCTTTTTTCCAGGCCTTCTGGGTCAACAGATTTGCCATGATGAAGACATGGTGGTAGGCACTACCCTAAATGCTTTGCATATATTAAGCCATTTCTTCCTGATGCTACCCATTGAGGTAGGTGCTGTTATTATTCTCAGATATAGATGAAGAAACAGAGGCACAAAGAGGTAGAATGGTTTATGCAGTGTTCCATAGCTAAGTGACAGAGCTGCGGATCAAACCTAAGCAGTCTGACTCCAGAGGTCCATGCTCTTAACCATCATACTCCACTGATCTGAACAAAAAAGACAATTCCAACCTACCACCTAAGACTCATAACCAGAGAGAGGTCTTTTTTTATTTTAGTTTTTTTCCCTTCTCTACAAAAAGTGCTGCATTAGAAACTTGAAACGTGAGATCAGTAGACTATCTGTGCCTTCCTAGACCTTTGGGCCTCATTCTTGGCTGCAGCTAGGGCTGGCCTGTCACCTGGTTGCTGGAGTACAACAGAAAGGGAAGTCAGGAGAGGGCATATCAGGGAGGGGACATGTAGCCAGTGAGCTAAAGCCAGACTTTGAAGGCTGCCCTGCAAAATGCTTTCTGTTCATTCATTCCTTGATTAGTTCAAGCTATGGCTGCTGTTGCTCCTTCACTCTCTTGGAATTGGCCGCTATCTTTGTTACCTCAGTGGACATTTAGCTGGTGGAGAACAGGAAGATGCCAGGAAGCTAAGATTATGTGTCACAAAAGAACAGGAGACTCAGGGCAACAAACACATCCCTGTTTTTTGTTTTTTGTTTTTCTGAGAAAGCTCTCCAGTGTTTCCTAAGGACTGAGAGCCAGGGCTGTTTTCCTGGTTACAGAGAGCTACTTACCAGGGCAAAAGGTGGATAGATTCAGCAACCTAGGACTGCAACTGCTACGTTGTTGTGTCAGGGAAAGAGGAAGTAATACTGCATAGATTACAACAGGAGGTCTCCAAGAAAATTTGTAGGGGGAGCTGTTTGTTCTTGGTGAATCCACCATCAGCCTTTGTTTGAGATCAGACTCCCCCTCTCACTCTCCTGGTTGGTACAGAGCATTTGGGAAATTGAGGGAGCCAAACTCATAATCTTTTCCCTTCATCCAAATCATCCCCAGACCCAGTGTAATAACTAACTCCATTGTCTGTATTTCTGATTCACCTGTCTGGTAATAGCGTGTAGGGTGGAACACGCAAATGCTCTGCAGTTTTGTTTACAGGTCTGCCTCCCCCTTTTGACTGCATTCTTCCATGATGATGTTAATTTTTCTTTGTATCCCTAGTGCCGTCCTCTTTATATTTGTTATTTGAATTGTATTTGTTTGTTGCCCTGCATTTCATTGCTTCTTTCTTTTGCTATTAATTTCTGGTAATGGCTGGGCTCGGTGGCTCAGCCTGTAATCCTGTGCTTTGGGAGGCTGAGGTGAGTGGACTGCCTGAGCCCGCGGGTTCGAGACCCGCCTGGGCAACTTGGCGAGACCTCATCTCTACAATAAATCAAAAAATTAGCCGGGTGTGGTAGCGCATGCCTGTAGTTCCAGCTACTGGGAAGGCTGAGGCGGAAGGATCACTGGAGCCCAGCAGGTCGAGGTTGCGGTGGCCAGGAGCGGCCACTGCACTCCAGTCTGGGTGACAGAGTGAGACTCCAACTCAAAACAACAACAACAACAAAAAACTTCTGGTAATGAGATTAGCCATAGAAATGGTGCCCAAAGAGAGCTGTTTCATCTCTCCTCACATGTTCTTTGAGCTAAGACTGGTGAGACTCCATGGGCCTTCAGGGCAGGGAGGCACAGGAGGCACTGGAGGGGACAGTCATAACAACTCCAAAAGTCAGTGCTGTTATAGTCCTCATTTTGCAGAGGAGGAAACTGAGGCTCAAAGAAGTGGAATGACCTGTCCAAGATCCCAGAGCTGGTAGAATGCCATAGCCTTGCCCTGCTGGAGCCCATAGTCTGTTTTCTTGGCTAGTGTGCTGGATGACTTGCTAATGGTAGGAACCTGTGATAGTATCAGGTCGGGCCAGGGAAGAGGCAACTAGGATGCACACACTGCTTGGAAAGTACGGCTGGGGGAATGAGGCTGTGAATGCACACAGGCTCTGGGGACAGCACATGGCTGACTCTGAGTGTTGTCCCTGGTGGTTGTACTTAAACCCTGAATATCTGGGAAACCTGGCAGAAGGGAGCTACATATGTGTGAAGGAGACCTGCCTCTTGGCTGCACTATGGATATCCTCCACAGAGGGTCAATTGGTCATTAGCTAGGGCAGGGCAGCCTGTTGGCCTGTTCATGGATGACCGCTGAGTACCAGCAGCTGGGTGAACTGGACAGGACAGACTGATGCCAAGCATAGGCTTATACGTAAGAGGCCCTTAATAAATGCTAGCTGGATATACAAGCAGGAAGGGAGTCATGGCTGGCCTCGAAAAATGCAGACATCGGATGATCTGTTCCAGCACTGGAATCACTTGGGAATATTGGCTGCCTCAGAGCCATGAAACCTAAGCAAGAGATTGTATCGGCCATTCTGATTTCCTGAGTACATATTACCTGTGGCTCTTATTCATTCTGCAAATCAACTATTTATCAAATGCTTCCTCCATGCCAGGCTCTGAGGCTATATTCAAGACCCCTGTCCTCATGGGCTAGCAAGCTACTCAGGAGAGACAGACATGTTACACAAGGAGTATAAGCACATGCCTAGTCTGGTTGACACAAGAAGCAATCCATAAACATTTGTTGAATGCATAAAGTAATTAACAAGGAGCTGTCAGATTGGAATAAAAGCAGTGTATAAGAGTAAAATAGGAGGTTATGTTAGAAAATGACTGAGTGTCTTCTGTAGCATGGTGTTAAGAAAGGCCTCTCTGAGACTATGTGCATTCAGAAAAGGCCTAAATGACAAAAAAGAACCAGCCATGCCAACAAAAAGGGGATGAATGTTCCAGTCAAGGGAAATGGCTAGTGCAAAGGCCCACAGTGTCAACAAGCTTGATGTCAGCAAGAGACTCAGAGATCAGTGTGGCTGGAGCTATTGGACCAGGAAGAGATGGGTGTGAGATGTAGCAGCTAGGCAGGAGGGCTAATCATGTGGGGCTTATAGCCTAGGAGAGGAGTTAGGTTCTATTTCAAGTACCTTTAAG